GCATTATGATGCTCTCCTAGTTCTCTAATCCTGCTTTTGATAGAATATATGAGAGCATCAAAAATTAGGTAGTTGTGCACAAGTGCGAGTTGTATCATTGGCCGTACAAGACTGCATTTGTCAAAATAGCTTAGGGGATCCAAAACTTTCATATAAGTGCTATCATATAGCAGACAGAACTGCTGTCACATTCACAAGAATGCTGCTTTATCCAGGGCTAGAAGTGATATCGAGCTCCATGAAGTGGATGCAGAAATTTGAATAAAAGAGTTGAGGAGTGTCTCCCCTAAATCACACAACAGCACAGTGTATTTAATGAACTGAAAACATACATATATTAATTTCTGTAGTATAGTGGTTACTTCAGGTTCTTGAATGGAATAAATTTTGTGTACCATTGTGCTACAAAAAAGGAGAAGCAATTCTGATGGATAGTGGTATTTTATCATGCCTACAGAAAAATAATTCACAATTTAAATGATAATTAATACACTTTCTTTCAAAATTCATATTTAAAAATGTATTTTGGTACATTCAAAGTATCAAATGGCATTGCAACATTTGGAGAAGTGCATCATCTGGTGGATAGCTGTGTTCCAATCTGTACATTAGGCAGATAAGGCTGCCTTCTATAGGAAAATCGGTCTCTTGCCTATATGCTGCTCTCTTATATTTATCCTGATGTTCGATGGCAGCATAAGTGCTATGCATCCTAAGCCACTCTCCCAGATGATGGAACAATGTTTCTTTTCTTTCCCCCTTCTGTTCTGGGGGTTCTGCAGACTTTCCTAATCAGAAGCGGGGGGAAAGTCCAGTTGCACTAATGAATAGAATAGAATAGAATTTATTATTTATACCCCGCCCATCTGGCTGGGTTTCCCCAGCCACTCTGGGTGGCTTCTAACAAAGTATTAAAATACAGTGGTCTGTTAAACATTAAAAGCTTCTCTAAAAAGGGCTGCCTTCAGATGTCTCCCAAAATCCGGTAGTTCTTCTCTTTGACATCTGGTGGGAGGGTGTTCCACAGGGCGGGTGCCACTACAGAGAAGGCCCTCTGCCTGGTTCCCTGTAACTTGGCTTCTCGCAGTGAGGGAACCGCCAGAAGGCCCTCGGCGCTGGGCCTCAGTGTCCAGGCAGAACGATGGGGGTGGAGACGCTCCTTCTTGTGCTGGCTTCATTGAAACCAGCTCTATGTATTTATCTGCCCTATTTGTGTAGAGCCGGTTTGGGGAAGCTTTGTCCCTCCACATGCTGTTGAACTACAAATCCCATCAAGCATGGCCATTGCCAGGGATGATGTGACTTGTAGTTCAGCTACATCTGGAGGGGAAAGGTTCCCCACACCTGGAATAGAGCCTTTAGCTCCGTTCTGATGCTACTAATGGCCAAACCACAGTTTTGCAATCTGAACTGCTCTATCTGTTGCACATATTCCTTCTTCTCCCTCCTCTCCATCTCTGTGCAAATCCCCACTTACTTGCTTTCTTGGTAATCAAAAACTATGGTTATAGTTTTAAGTGAACTGGCATAATGAGTTCCTGTGAACCATAGTTTGCTCTTAAACCAGATGTTTGAAATTCAGATTGGAATTTTATTTCACTATCTGCTTTAAGAATCAACTGTGTTTTGCAGAAACTCTAGCTACATTTGTTCAGATGTAACAGTAAATCATGCTTATTGCTAAATAGGAAAGGGACAGGAGAGAAGTATGTATGCTCACACAGGAATGTCGTGTATGGATAAGTACAATGGCTTGGCAAAACACTATGTATTAGCAAAGTTACAACTAAATCAGCCCATTCAGTTAAAATGATGATGATAGGGAATATCCTTATATGAAAGCGTTGCCATCTCTAAGATGTTCTCTCATACCTGATAACATTCAAGTCTCAAACTGCTGGGCCCTTGAAATCCTGCTACATAGATGCTGCTACATGTGACAAGCCCACGGAATTGTGAGAATTGTTACAATGTCATTGCAAACTACCTCCTTCCCCTTTTTGGATGGGCGCTGGAAGTACATGATAACATTGCCAAGGTGGATAATTACAAAAACACACACGTTAAAGTTAACGATTTGTGAGAGCTGACCTTGCATTTCTAAAAGTTCAAGTTCTAATATCAATTGTGGTACATATGATATGACACTTGGAAGATGGTAGATCCGTGCTTGCTCTTTATCTTACCTATTTATTTACAATAAATGGTATATATGTACACTATATGAATATTGTTCACAATGACTGTGTATAAGGATTTATTTATGCAACATTACACCATTAAGCTTTTTACCCAACTGTTTAATTTTATTTGGGATGCCTGGAACCCTTTGAAAATAAACCTTGGAGATGTTCTTTGTTTCACCTAGTGTAGATGAGGTTGTTGAATGGCAAGAGAAGAAGAGTTGCCCTGGGGATTACCTGCTAGTTTGTACCTGTTTCCAATTTCTTTACATTTATATTATTAGGAAGCTTAGCTTGAATTGGTTGACCTTACTCTATCTTTGCTTTGTCTCTGTGAAGTCAGATAAGCTTAATGACAGTGGCTTTCCCCCAATCCACCCAGTGGCCTGCCTGGCCAAGTTGAACTTTGAGAGTTGGGCTTGGAGTTATCACATCCAGTTTCCACCCTCTAGCCACTGCAGCTCACCAGCACTCAGTTTTGAGGGTGCTTGGCACCATTTTGAAAGTCACAGTAAGTGATCCTCTTGGAACAGATTGAATTCCCAGATCAGTCAGTCATACATGTATGCAAATCACTGCTTAGTCATTGGCTTACTTCATATTATAAGATTAATCATGAATTTAGCTTCAGTTATCTTTGAAGAGAATCACAGGCATTCAGTTAACATGAGTTAAGGTTGTGGTACAGCTGTTCTTATTACAAAAGTCTAAAATGGATGTGTCTAAATTAGCCTGTTAAGTGCTTGATCTCTCACACACCTTTTTTGTGTTAGCTATTCCAGGATAGAAGAGCATCTCTAATCATGTGTCAAAGTAGAATTTTGTTTTCCTTGCCCAGCAGATTTTCCATAGAACATGCATGAGCTGAGTTTGATTTCTTCTAGTTACGTTTGCTATTCTATTCCTTCAGTGCTTTTATCAATTGTTCACTTTGGTTCAAGGTCCCAGCATGAGTTTCAAGGCATGACTTTTCACTATTCATAATATATAAATTAGGCTTGTAGCCTTAAAGTTGTAAAATCATAGTTATTCTTGTATTTAGGTTTTCTTCTGATATAGTAGTTGCAAGGCGTTATAGCTTCTTCAGTATGCATGGGTTGATGTATAATATATTCCACCGTGGATTTTGCAGTCTGATAGCTTTGTAAACATTCGTATACATATTCTAGATCACACTAGATATTACAGTGCTAAAATATTGCCTGTGTGATTTTTTAAAATGTATTTCTCTTTCCTCTTGGTTTTGACGTATCAATGTATGGTTCATTGGCTGTCTGTTTTGTTGTAAGTTGCTTTGGGTTGTCCTGGGCAAGATAAAGGGACAGACAGTTTTAATAAATAATAAATAATTTCGTGATATAAAGTGCTGCTATTGCAGGAATATATAGATGTAAGCAGGACAGTGAAAATATTCTGGTTCAAGGTGGGCATGTGGCAGAATGATCAGGTATCTCAGCTGAATAAATTTAAATTTGCATTTATTTAAATAAGATTCAGCTACTCTTAGACTGTGGAATCTCACATGTGCATCATATGCTTGGTAACTCTAGACTGCAGGCAGTCACAATTAACATGTTAACAATTAACCCACAACCTTTAAAGCCAATGGAATATTTGTCACTGAGTTCTATACTTTGTGTTAATTACCAGCTTCTGGCATACTTTCAACAAGCCTCTAAAAATCTTTATCCGTGTTGTCATTTAATCTGGAAATGAATTAGTTTTATATTGTTTTAAATTGTTTTTATATTTATATATGTTTAAAAATTGTTTTTATATTCAGTTGTTTCAAACTGTTTTTAATATATGTAATTTGCATATATGTCATTACATTGTAGATCACTTCCATATCTTTCATGGGAAGGGACTCATTAATGATAATAATAATAATAATAATAATAATAATAATAATTTCTGCCACTCCTTTGTTGATTCAGAGACTCATGCGGGTTCATGTCAGTATACGTTTGCAAACACACACACACACAATTCTGTGGTATAGATTTCTTAAAGCTAGAACCAAAGTGTGTTTCTAATGCATTCTTTTGTAAAATCACAATTACAAAGTTGGACAGATTTAGATTTCTAGTTTGATACACTTAGCAAGGTAGCTGTGTGAAAGCATTCATCAATGAGGACCATTCATGTAAAGAAAGCTGAATTTCCCACTAAGTTTAAATCTTGTAAAATGAATTTTAACGTGAATAAGAAGGCTCACATTATGTTTCTTTCATTCTGAGCCCTATTTCAATACCTACAGGTTTAGTGGTGCCTATACACACCCTTTATTAAGGCTTAACTTAGGCATGGTTTCTTAGTAACTAAAATGAGGCATCTCTTGTAGAACTCTGTGGCGTGCTCAGTTCTTGGTTAATACTGGAGATCTCTGAGAAATTAGCAGCAATAATTAAGTTGTTTTCCTTATTAAGCAGGATTTTTTTAGTCATCTTATATTTTGTTTGTTTAAAAATGTATAATGGAGGGAAAATTATGTTAATCTATTTGTGAATTTGGTAATCCATTAAGGAGTCATTACACTGGGATGGAAGGGAAAGAGGGATTTGATATTGCAGAGTACATAATTAATTACTCTTGTCAGAAGGGGGGTAAATTGTCTCTTTTCTGTTCACAGTATATAGTGACATTCCCTATCTTTCAGAATACAGCAAAAACACAAGCAGGATTTACTGGTACATATTCTAATAAAATAAATATTCAAACTGCCTTTTGTCAGATACAAAAACTCAGGTTATTTCCTTTTTGTTTCATTGTTGCTGTCTACATGTTATTTATTCTGCATTTCCCTATCTCCTTCAGGTACACCTGAAAGCCTAGCGGAAAAAGAGCGACAGCTCTCTACCATGATCACCCAGCTCATCAGTTTACGGGAGCAGCTTCTGGCTGCCCACGATGAGCAGAAAAAGCTGGCAGCATCACAAATTGAAAAACAACGGCAGCAAATGGACCTTGCTCGCCAACAGCAAGAACAGGTGAGCAACAAAACAGCAACATATGAAAATGTTTCCCCCACACACACACCCAGAAAAAAATTCTACTATTTCTTAAATCCACTCCCAACCAAAAAGGGTCTGGTATATATTATTTGCAAACAAGAGACAAATAACTGTACTTTCCATGATATGCTGGCTTTTCATAGCCTGCTACTTGTAAACATTACCTTTGATAATACATGTATGTAAAATACTGCATTATGAATTTATATCCTCCAAAAAAGTTGTAAAGAAGGAATAAATTGTAGCAATCCTTGAAAAACTATCCTTGTTAGAATTTCAATTCTCCATTTTCAAAATGTCCAAATGCAATGAGGATGTGTGATAAGGATACATTGTGAACGAGGTTTGTCCAGTATCGGAAGTGGGTGATAGAAAGGATTCATTCATGACTTAGGAAAGGGCAGACGGGAACTCGTAAGGGCTCAGTGAACCAGGAAATGTTCTCACAAACCTCTTAATTTGAATAGAATTTGTGCCAGAATAATATCTGCTGGATTATGCTTATACAGTAGATTCCAACATACCTGTCAAATGGATATTTTCCTGTCTGTAAGGCTTGCTTTGTTACTAGTTCCTAAGCAGGTGATTTACAGTATCTTAATAAGCTTTGGCAAAAGGATCAGTTAACTCTCTTTCTCTGAGCATTATATCTTAAAAAGAAACGAAAAAACAAAAATCCTACACACACCCCACCCCACCAGCCAAATATTGGTAAGGACTAGGAGATAAACAATATTCCATGCTGTCTGGTGGAAAACATTTAACAACAAAAGATTCCATTAGTTCCTTATGCATTAGTTTCAAATTAATGTGCAGTTTTAAGAAATCTGACATTATAACTAGAATTATCTTTTCAGCTAAATATGTTTTATAGGGTATATACAGCAATGTATGCTCTGTTGATTTTAATGAGTTGTGACGTCTTGTATTTTATGTGCTTGAATATTTGCCCACATGTAAGGAATATGGACTCGTCCCTAATGGAAAATAACATAAAGGAATACTGTAAAAAATCAGAAGTTAGAATGTCATTTAGCCATCCAGAGATGACACAGTAATTAACTATTGACACTTGTGAATAAGCTAGCACAAATTAATCTTGACACATTTGCAGACGAGTGATATCTTACAGTGAACACTTTGTAATTATATTTCAAAATGAAAATTAAATGACACTTAAAACTAGGTTGTCATGCTCAATGAAGCGAGCATGTAGCTCAACCAATTGGCAAATAAAATTCAGAATTTGAGCCACATGGTGCTTCTGTACCAGCTTTTGCGGTGTCAAGCCCTATACATTGAAATTGTGCTATGGTAATTGCACTGTAGTGTTTTGGATGCCTTTTTCAATCACACCACCATCAATATTAAATGCCATGGTAGTACTTCACTGGTTTCCATAAGGAAATGAATATTCATTTGATCCTATATTGTACTTAGAACTGCAGTGAGCTGTGCACTAGCAAATTGATCTCAAACAAAATCAGTCCCCAAATTATACAAAGCCTTTGTCATTTCTCAGGTCCTAGATGCAAACATTTCTCAGGTCCTATATACAATGAGGCTTGTATCTGCATGATGTATGGATTTGCTCCTTTCACTAAATGACGAAATGAACCTTACACCTATTTTTATTTTTACAAAAATAAATCTCTCTCCACATTTTCAAGATGCCATTCCGTGGTAAAATTCAACATTAAGAGTAGAAATCTTACAATTTTCAAACACATCAATTTCGAAAGCAGGGTAAGAACAGTATAAACTAAAACAAAACAAAAATCACTGCCAGCAACTTTTTCAAAAATTCACAGTCTGCTGGCACACAACTCTTTAAGAAGGAATTCCCTGGCCACAGGGCAATTGAAGAGAAGGCCATAATGTGTCACCACAGTTTCAGCTTCCTTTTACATGAGACCTTAAGCAAGGCCTTGGTCTGTGGAGCTGCTTCAGACTCAGCAGAGTCCGTTTTTAATTCCTCTCTCATATATGTAAAATAAGGCCCTGCTTGTAGAAAACTAACATGTCAATGAGAGAAATTCTAGTTTAGCTTAGGGTTTTCCCTTCATGCTTTAGTTTTCTATGCATGTTTACAACCACAGTCATTCAAACAGGCAGTCCCCCCACTTGCATTCTGAAGTGCTTTCACTCCAACAGGTTGAGCTACTTTATTATTCTGAAAGTGTAACTCTGTTCTACCTATCATCTTTCCCAACCTATTCTATTTATACTGGAGAAGGAAGCAAGAGCATATAGCTAAAGCACAATATTGTGCATTAAAATTTCTGAGGGTCCTGGGAGAGATGTGCATTGTGCTCTTATTATATCGAGAGTTGATTTTGATGTGCTCTTATTATGTCATTAAAATGCTTTCCCCCTGGTGACTTGAGCATTTTCATTGCTCTCTCGTGGCCATGGCATTTGTGGAAATTTTGTGGAAAAGCAATTGCTTTAAGTAGGGATGTTGCTGAAACACATGTTTAAGTTCTCAGCTCAATGGTAAAATATATCCATAAAGCTAAAGACAACGTTAAATTCTCCTCCTGCCCCATTAGTCATGCTACCACAGCAACTTGGATTTGGTAGCATGTGTTTGATGATGGAAGGCATAGTCTTATTCAGACAGTTTTGTATGACCCTAATAATAGATGAGAAGAACTAGAGAAAGGGCTTCTTACATCCCCTTCAGTAATCATTGGATGGTTTGTCAGGAGCAGGCTTCTTCAACCTCGGCCTTCCAGATGTTTGGAGACTACAATTCCCATCATCCCTGACCACTGGTCCTGCTGACTAGGGATCATGGGAGTTGTAGGCCAAAAACATCTGGAGGGCTGAGGTTGAGGAAACCTGATCAGGAGAGTTGCTCTCAGCCTGAGCATATTACTTTGGTAATATGGTGTCTGAGCGAGAACAAAATTTAGTGCCCCCGCCACCACCTTGAATATTTCTTAATTTCACAATAATTCATTTTGGTACAGTTGCTTTTTAAATGGATCTTCTCAGTAGGTACCCTAAACAACAACAACAACAACAACAACAATGTTCCCCTTGGCTCAGTGCCCTGTGTGGAGGAACCACACTGGTACAAAGTTGTGGAAGGCTGATCTAGCTACTCCTAAGGGAAGCACTTTGGTACAGTAAAGGTGCAAGTTAATGACAAATGGAGAATAAAGAAGTTGTGAGGTGTGCTTCCCTGAGCAGAAAGTTCCAAAGTGTTGATGTGATTACTGGAAAGGTTGTGCTCTGATTTTCCACAAATTTCACCTGCAAATAGGAGACGTCCTAAAGGTAGGATCTCCCCTGCTGGCTCAGAAGCCAGGAGAAACATAGGGAAGAAAGCCCTCTGTCATGTATGCAAGGTCCAGCTGAGGCTTAAGCTTTGAGAATGAATACATGTAGACTTAACTAACTTCAAGCCCTGTGTTTCAATTACTTCAATAGTCTTTAAAGATAGGTTAGTAAACAATATATTTAAACCTCCTTCCAATCTTTTAGTTAACTCCACAACAAATGTGGTTCGGTGAAACAAAGAAGAAAAATCTTTGAAATTATCATGAGGAATAAGTAGGAACTTGTTTTCACTCAATAATATTGAAGCCTCAACATCACTGTTTTAATTTAATGGAAAATTTATTTCTAATAGATTGCAAGACAACAGCAGCAACTTCTGCAACAGCAGCACAAAATCAATCTACTGCAGCAGCAAATTCAGGTCAGTGTGTTTTATTGCTCTCTTCTGATTATGCTTAAATTCCATTTAGTAAAAGGGGAAGCTTTACAACAAAATTGCTTTTACCCTCCTAGACAAGCAAAGCTTCAAATCCAAGGAGGATTGTCCACATTAAAAAAAAAAATTAAATTGTGATAAATATTTTGGTGTAGCCTGCCTTTTGTTAATAAACAGGTTTTGTTTGAAAGATACGCATTACTTTTAAATCTTCCTATTTAGCTGTAAGATAAACAGGCATTTTAACTTCTGTGCTACAGAGGAAAAGCAGTGATTCAATTGTTGGTTATGGATTGCTTTATTACAACCAAGACTGAACTGCTTTATATTGAGACAATTACTATGGAAAACATCTGCAGCTATTGCTGTGTAGGTATATAAGTACCAAACCCTTTGTAGGCAGCAATGTTTATCTGCCAGGGGCACCAATTCAAGTTTTAGTGGTGTGTGTGAGAGAGAGAGCAGGAGCATTCAATATGGTCCAAGGACCCACTCTTGGATATATTCAAAAACAGATTGTGAAGAAGTGTTATATTTTGAAAGCATTTGTTGTGGTTATTTTCTTTTCTTTTAATGCCTCATCATAACTATAGCAATGTTATTACCACAGGTCAAACAGTCACCTATAAAAAGCCAAAAGGGAATTGTATTTGTACCTTTACAATACATACCTAGCAGAGGCTCCTTTCACTCTTTATACAAATAGTTCGATTCATAGAACCAGTGAGATGGTCAGAGACAGTGTTTTCTCAGAAATAAATCACACTGATATGAAACATGGAGAACTTCACCTCTGTGTGGCATCTGTTAGTAATAGCTCTTCTGTTAAACACAGGAAAGTACTTCTTAAATGTAGGTTGCAATACCAACTTAACTTGATTTCCATGGTACTAACTTTCAGCTGCCTAGAGTGGCTGGGGCAACCCAGATGGGTGTGGTAAAAGGTAACGGTAAAGGGACCCCTGACTATTAGGTCCAGTCATGACTGACTCTGGGGTTGCGGCGCTCATCTCGCTTTATTGGCTGAGGGAGCTGGCGTACAGCTTCCAGGTCATGTGGCCAGCATGACTAAGCCGCTTCTGGCAAACCAGAGCAGCACACGGAAACGCTGTTTACCTTCCCGCCGGAACGGTACCTATTTATCTACTTGCACTTTGACGTGCTTTCGAACTGCTAGGTTGGCAGGAGCAGGGACCGAGCAACGGGAGCTCACCCTGTCGCAGGGATTCAAACCACAGACCTTCTGATCGGCAAGTCCTAGGCTCTGTGGTTTAACCCACAGCGCCACCCACGTATGGGTGCGGTACAAATAATAAAATCATTATTATGCAAATATATTTCAAAATAGGGTGTCAGACACCAAGATCAGAATCCAGCGTATTGGAAAAGGGCTCCCTCCATGAATTTTATTGCTTGTCTTAACCATGGTTAAGCATAATATAAGCACAGCAGTTGTGGCATCCCTGCCCCATTCCCTTAAAAACACACACATTTTAAACACCTTTTCTTGTTGTTTTGGACACCACTGCAAGTGGCTGCAATAGCAACCTCTCAAGAACCTGTTCCCAAAAGCATATTAAAATATCCTGTAGCATTATTCTGGGTAAAAAATTGATTCTGCCCCATTCATTCATTTCCCGACAGAAAACAGTTTGGAATTACAGAATTGTAAGTTGGAAGGGATCCAAAGGATAATCCAAATGACAAAATGGGCTGGGTCCAGTTAAATAGTTGTGCTAGAGGGACCCAGCACAATGAGTCCTGAAAACGTGATAGGGCTTTCCCCCACCTTTCCTCCCCCATCCAATCAGCTCTGGGGGGGATCAGGTGAACCCCCAGAATGGAGCACAGGGGGAGGAGAAAAGGGGGGTTTTCCATTAGGAAAGCAGAAATGCTTATACTGATGGAACAATTGTTGTAGCGTAACATTGAATTCTAGTAGTATTTTTCCAAAGCAACTTGGAGGATGGGAATGGTACAGAAACAAGTTAGGATTTTTTAAAGACAAAGAAAAGAAAAGAAAAGAAAAGAAAAGAAAGAAAAGAAAAGAAAAGAAAAGAAAAGAAAAGTGCTGCTCTTGCCTTTCAAATTTCTGCATAATTGCCCCCACATCACCCTTACCTAGTCATGCCCCCTTTATTTGTGCTTTAATTTTTGCAAATTCAAATAAAATAATAATAGTCATCATCATCACCACCATCTTGCATATTTGAACATCTCCCACGTAAAAGGCAGCATGCATAGAGAACAATTTTCATGTTAGGGATCTAGGATAGTTTTAAATTAGCAGTCTGTTTTCATATGTGATAATGTCACCTGCTCTTCAAGTGCTACAGTCCAGCAAGGATGGTACTGCATAATATTTCAGAATATTAGTACAGCTTTAAAGCCTGGCTTATCACAGGGAGATGGTTTCTCCTCTTGTAGAATGGGATGGCGCGAGACAAGAAGCTTATCAACAATTTGCATGGTTGCTATTAATTCTTGCCAGCATTGTAATAACTTCTGCTTTCCAATACATTTTCTCCAACCTACCTCAGGTTAGTCAAATATATTGGAGAGGGAGGTTCAAGGAGGAAAGTGTAGAGCAAGTGACTGGGAATGCTGACGAACTGAGGATGTGGCTGGCTGTGGGGGAAGTAATGTGCATATGGAAGATGCAGAAGGAAATACAATGGTCTTCTCTGTTCTAAGATCTTTCAACAACTTCTTGTCACAGTCTGTGGAGGAAATGTCTGCACTGACTACTACACAAGTGACTCAAGGTTCTCTGCAGATGCAGAATGAGTATGCAGTGCAGATGATGAAGCAGAAAGACCAGGCTGGCCAAATTTGTTCAGGGATGCAGCTCTTGCAAGTGGAACGGGAGAAAATTCAAGAGTCACAAAAGGGGCTCAAATTCAGCTTGAAAGAAGGCTAATGCAAATTTGAGGAAATTTTGAGTAGGAGCTGACCATAACTAAAAGCTCCTCTACTGCATCAAGCAGTATTGAGAAAGAGAAACTGAGGCAGAAAATAAGTTTCAAGTACAAATTGAAATTAACAGATCCAGTTGGAAGAACACAGAGTCTCTGAATTAGAAGTTGCAGGAGAAGGAAGCGAGCTGGCTGAAGCTAATGAAACAATTAGTGTGCTGAACAGAAATATATCAGAGTTGCAGCAGAACTTAATAAATCAGGAAATGCAAATGAAGAGCCACGAATCACATAAGCAGGAACTGACTGAACAGCTGAATGTATTACACTGAAAGAGAGAGGGAGAGACCAGTCAGCAAATTCAGCCTCTACAAGGAAAGGTAGCCCTAACGACTGGGAGCAAGCAGAACGTTCAGGATCTGGAACAGAAGGTCTCCTTGTAAGAACAAGATGTTAGAATGGAGAAGAACTTGGAAGACCAACTTTCCAAAACGGAGCAGGAGCTGTAGTTGATCCCATACTGTCCACATCACCATACACAGACTTTGTATTGCTCTGATGCTGCTTGAATATTTTCTCCCCCTTTTGTTCCATGGCTTCTCAGCCTGTATCTGAAATTAAAGAACTGTGGGTAGTTGTGCCAATTTTGCTCTCTAGCTGGACTGCAGTAGGAGGCAGGGATTTGCACCTTTATTCTGTGCCTGATGTCTCCTCCTTGCCTTCTGTTAATTACTTATCCTATCTTCACTTTTGAGGTACCTGAAACAAAATGTGTGTTTAAGCTCTGAAACAGTTTACTGTGTCAAGACAGGGGTTTGGCAAGTGGAGTATCAATGCAAAATGATGATGATGATGATGTTGATGGAGTTGGTCTTGAGCTCCCTTCTGTCTACTGTTCGTTCATAATTCTAGCTGATTCCTTGCCTTACTGCCTTCTATTCTGGGTGTTTTTTTTTTTAAGCAAAGGTTAACAGGCATGTCACTGAGATCAAGTGACAGTTGCTTTTCCTAGGAACAACTAATCTGCCTCCAATCCATCTTGTTCTAAACATGTTTCCCCACTAAGTTATGGAGTTTAGACACTGCCTAACATTTTGTCATTTTGTGCCAATCTGGTTATTTGGGCCTGTTTAGTGTGAGAGACTTCTGTGGATTACTTCTCTCTCTTGTGTGCATTGGGAAAACTCATTAAAGTATTCCAGGCAGGTTAAGTATTTCTCTTCCATAGCATGTTTGCCAGGATTCTGGTGGGCTTTTCATCTTCTCCTGGAGCATCTTGTAAGGAATTGCTTTGGCTGCTATTGGAGCTGCTGAACCAGTGCCATATCAGGCATGCAAACGAATATGAAGGAAATGCTACTGTAAGGCAGAGAGGGTGGGATTATTTTAGAAGTTTCCAGCTTTTAGCTTGCTTATAGTTATTGAACAGCCTGCCCTATCCAAGAGGTTTAAGGTGGATTTTAAGTCCTTTCCTTTCACCAAAGAGCCTGCTTCTTCCAATCCTCCTCAGAGGATGATCAGGACTCAGGAGACCCTCCTGGAAAGTGTAGGCTGGGCGAAATTGGCTAAAAATTGAATGGAAGAATCACGTTACACACGAGGAGACACCATTCATATAAGATGAAGGGGCTATAGCTAGGATCCAAAGAGTTTATACACAAACTCAGTGTTTTGTTTTGTTTTTACCTTTGAATGGCTAAGGATCTCCCCAGTAATATTAAATTGCTTTTGAAATTCCAATCGAATTCATAAGATATTTTGTATGTAGCATGGGATGTGCTCTTTGAGAAATACAAATTCAAAGCTCCCCTGGGCATGTAGGGCTAGTCATGTGATTCCTTGGATCAAGGCCTGCAGCATTAATTAGTTGTGTTTCTAGTCTTCCTGGACAATAGCCTGAAGCTGCACCAGTACTTCACAGTTTTATGATGTGCTGTTGTGCTGCAGTTCATAGGCAAAGAACTGATGCCAAAAGTCTGTTGACACAAGTCATACATTTGTCAGTTCGCAGAATGAGTAGGTCCTTTTAAAACAATAATAGAAACAAGTGAAGCCGATACTGATTAATTA